ACACAAAATTTAATTATTTGTAATACAAAAAAGTTAAACGATAATAGTTATCGATATACACTAGATAGTGATGATTGCAGTGAGTTATCAGTACTTAGTAGGGTACCCTTTATTTTTGATTACAGCTTCACATCGACGTTTCATTGAGCTGACAAGAGTTTAAGCTCTTCTTTCGTTATTACATAATGCCAGGAAACAATTATAGCCTCAAATAGTTCCCTTTTATTTGATGAGCGCCTCATTCGGACAAGAGTTTTCAAACGGTGCCACAAATTTTCGATAGGATTGAGGTCAGAACTGTTTCCTGGCCATGACAACAATTTAATGCTCTTTTTACGAAACCACTCTTTCGATATTTTGGCCGTGTGGCAAGCAGCAGAATCCTGCTGAAAAATAAATGAAGCATTGTTGGGAAAGAGATCTCTAATGGAAGGTAGAAGTTTTGGTTCTAGAATAGTGTCAATGTATTTTCTGGCATTCAGTGTCCTATCGATGACATGAAGGCGACCAATACCATTTGCTGACATGCATGACCAAATCATAACACTAACTGGGTTCTTCACAGTTGCTTGAATGCAGTCAGGATGTAGCTCTTTTCCTATTCTACGTCCTACATATTTTCGCCCATCACTACCGAATAACGATATCTTAGTTTCATCACTCCGTATAACGTGTGACCACTGATCATCTGTCCAATTAATGTGTTCCTTTGCCCACTGTAGTCTTTTTTTTTTTTTTTTTTTTTTTTTGTTGCTGAAAATTAAGATAAGGCTTTTTTCGTGGAATTCTACCTCTCAGTCCAACATCTGCTAATCTTCTCCTGATTGTTCTTGAACTGACAAAACACCAGCATCATTCAGATCACTTCTGATGTCCGCTGATGACATTTTTCTATCTTGGATACATAGTCTTTTTATTCTTCTGTCATCAATAGATGTGGTGCACCTTTTTCGGCCCTTTCCTTCTTTGTTTTTTATTGAATTTGTTTCCTGATATTGTAAACAAAACTTTCGGACTCCAGATGTAGTCAGTGAACCACTCACCTGTCTTGCAATTTCAGCATAGGAAAGACCACTTTCTCGTAACACAATAATATTACATCTCTTTCTAGGTGTCCAATCTACTCTTTTATTTGATGTCATTACTTCTTGGCTAAATATTAAAAATTCCTACCTGTAATTGCAGTGTATAAGAAACAGGTCCTCCTTTTACAGAACAAAGCAAAATAATGAATTGTTTCAAGTGTAAACATGATGTCAGCTTCTACTGGCAGTTACTAACATTTGATTGATTCTCAGAACAAGAACAGTGATTGGCCAAGAAAGCTAGACATTAGAAACCACTTCATAACTGTGTTTTTTATTTATATTAAAATACATATAACTTTTTTTGTATTGCAAATAATTGAATTTTGTGTTTTGTATTGAATTCAGTAATAAATTCTCTTAAAAATGATAAATACAAGTTTGAATTTTGCGAAACGTAACATTTTCTATAAGCATACAAAGTTCAAAAACATAAAAATTTCCAAAAGTGTCCACAATTTTGGCCACCACTGTATTTGTTAAAAATTAAAATATTTTAAAATTTTGTTTAACTATGTATTTATATAAACATGCAATTTGTATAACATGTATGTATAAGAATGCACATAATGTTTATTCGTATAACAATTGTAATGCGTATTTGTACAACCATGTATAATGTATATTTGTATAACAATTATAATGCGTATTTGTATAACCATATATAATGTATATTTGTATACCCGTGTACATCTGTATAACACCCTAATATTTTCAACTGCTATGCACTGTTTAATGGCCACGCAAAATCTTTTAAATTTAGATATACAAATATGGCTTGAAATACTGATTCATCCCTCATTAACGCTTGACAGTTAGGATATATGCTTCGCGGAGATAACTAAAAATCTTTTTTGGTTCACACCCCAGGTCGGAAGATACCGACCGCTACTGAGAGTATTCAGTCCCCAAAGCAAATGGATGAGATCCAACCTTATCATCCATGAGCAAAAAGTCTGAACTCATAACACTTCAGTTTTACATGGTGGTACAGTAAATTTACGTACTTCTGTGCAGTTACATAGCCTGTCCCCCATAGACATAAAACTTTTCAATGATTCTTCTACAAACAAGAAACATCTTCATGGAAACACGCGTTTCATAAGATAGGCGATGAAGGCCATATTTCTCAGGATGAAAATAAGTCCATAATAAGTAAACTAAACATGAATTCACCCATAAAGAGTACTTGGATCCATTCATTTAGGCTCCGCTGATCATTAAGAAGATATCGTATGAAATGTTTTTCTTTAAAAGATCCAAAACGCGGCACACAACGCAATCTTCTCGCTTAACCCTTTGGGTACATTTGACGCCTAATTTATGAATAATGAATCTTAATCGTCATTCAAACTAGGACAAAATTAAACATGTACATTCTTGTTCATGCTTCCAGTACTTCAGTGAATGTTGTTTGTGAAAAATCAACAGAAGAATTTTTTTTTCAAATAAATCCGTACCCTAAGGGCTAAGGACCATGCTCATGAATCCTTCGGTTAACACAAGGTCTATTTTTCACATACAAATGGATATTGAGAGTCCTCAAGCCTCTCAGCAGTTGTGTAATGGTTTCTTAATATTAGCAAATACTGCAGTTATCTTCGATCAATGCGATAAATTATGGATCCCATGCTGCTTAATAAGCGATACCAGATTCCTCGGATTGAAGAAATCGCTTTGAGGAATATTTAGCTCTGAAGAGATATCCAAATGTGTTTCACCCAGCTACAATCTACTGACCATTCAGCACTTCTTTCATAAAATGTATGATTCTGATATTTGACTTTGACTTTCGCAAATACACGCGAAACAGTAGGTTTTCTGTCCAACAACATAGTTATATAAATAAATACACTCAGATGAATTCAGTTAATCAGTCTTTTACAATAAGCATTCGTCAGTTTTAAGCACAAGTTTATTAATCAGGTTATCGCCTTATTTCTCTGCTTATTTGTTCGCCCAGTCCCCTTTCGCTGGATATCCTGTGACTGTAGTTTAGTTAGTTTTTCTATAATTCCGTTTAAATACTTTTTCATTTCTTTGCATTTTCTGATTAATAAGTAATCAAATGATAATGGCAACAAAGAAAGTCACCAGCGTCCGAAATGTTTATGAGAAAATGCTCGAATGAGGAAAAGCTGCTCAGCATGAGCTGGGCATTCGTCATTCTGAAAAGCAATGCAGCATTAGTTGCAGGCTTACCGAAAGCACTTACCAAATACCACTTAACAGATGCGAAAGATGTGGAAAAATTTGATGGTTTGAATAAATAAAGAATAATTGTTTGCTGATATTGTATCTGAAGCCGTTATATATGAGGAAGCTTAACATCAGCATATGAAAAATTACAAAAGATACCCATAATGCTGAAAAATTTAAGACTGTTCCTTTAAAAGCGACCCTTCCCTCATTTACGAACGCATCGTGTTTCAACATCGTGCAGAGGGAATTAGGGGGATTTCGAAAAATTGTAAGATTGAGCTTGTTTCTTTCCCACAGCAGTCGTTGACAGGGTTATAAAGAAATGGTTTGGGGGGGAAGAAATAACCTTGAAGCGACTATTCTAAAGGAATATTCTAAAGTACGGGCGGAATCTTCCCTTAAAGAAAGAACAAAAAACATTCACAATACGACAAGGCAAAGGGCTAACAGCACAGGCTGCAGAGGCATTTGTGCGACAACATAACGATTCTATATGCCCTGATGATATTCCAAGTAAAGAGTAAATTCTGATAAAACATGCGAGGAAAAAATTAATGACTTATATCACAGTGGAAAAGAATGCTATATCAGGACATAAGCTATGAAAGAGGTGACTCCTCTATCTATGACATAATGCTAATGAGAACTTCAAGACAAAAGGGCTTTTCAGGTACAACTTAGAAACAACAGTATGTTTTTAGGTACAACTAGTATGTTTTTAGAAAATAAAAGCAAAGTTTTAATAGGAATAGTCTCTAGTGGGAAGAAATATCTGAAAAAGAACAATATTTATCTTTTAACGCGATTCAAAATATTCGACACGAGTAAACGAAGTTCTAGTGATGATGTTATTTGTTTGAATCAGCCATTAGAAGGATCTGAACACATTGTTTCAATGATGGAGAATAATTGTGTTCTTGTCGACTTGGAGGCGAATAATGAAAAGAAAATACTGAATTGCATACCTAGGTATACGCAGGATCTTCATACGAAAAAATAACAGCAAGCCGCTAAGGTTCCGCCTACAAAGGAGGAGGAGGTAAAAAAATAAGTAAAAATATGTCCCTGCAAACGTTAAGAAACTGTGGTATGCTGCTCTATAACACAGAATCTTGTAGAGAAGCGGCACTCTAGTGCCGCATTCTTAAAATGATATATATCAATATGTCCGATAAAAATGTTTTAAAAACCAGGGAAAACAAATGTTGCTAGACAAATTCTTCTTCCCCCCCCGGAAAAAGAACTAAGCGGTAGTAATATGCATGAGGCTACAAACCTCAAATATTCGATTCCTCACCTTCAAACAGCAATATCTCTTCGACTGACTAATTATTATAAAATGGTTATATGTTCTCAACTTCTTCTGAAACAGGAATTTAAAATGTTTTACATTGGCTATCTAAGACGGAAAAATTCAGTTTACATTATTTCTTACACGGACATTTAATTTGAAAGTCAAACATATGGTAAAAGCCAAATTGTCTTCCGGAATAGACTGCATTCAAAGTTTGGGGGATTACTGTATTTTTAGAACTTCTTTTAATAAAATACGTAAAGAAGAATGTAATTTAGGAATTCAAACTGTTTTGATTATTAAATGAAGGAACTTCTCAGAAGAGGGAAAAAAGGTATACTTGCTTTGAATATTATTACTTAAAAGTACTTTTATTTTTCCCTTTTAAGAAAATAAAAATAAAAACAATTTTCCGCAAATTGACAACAAGAACCTAAAAGTAATTTATTTCATAATTTCCTTTAACATAAAAGAACACATGACAAGAAATATATACAAGCTCTTTCTTTAGGAATAGCGTAATTTAAATTTACAGCATAATGAATATCGAAGAAACAGAATTCACAGTACAAACTAATGTCAATAAGTTTTCCTTCTTCTCTGATGCTCAGCATTTCACATATAATAATTTCACAGGGAAGAAAACGAACCAGTTTGATTATCTTTCGAACGAATAGTCTCCAGAGAAATAAGCATATATATTTTGAAATTAGGCACTCACAGTCTTACAGAAGTCGAAACCACAATATACAAGGAAATTTCACAAGTACAATGAATAAAACTAATGAATTCGAACGAAAACCTTTTAAAGCCAACAACTTGATGAGTTATATGATGTTGACAGTTATCACACTATGTTTTCACTTAATGCCTTCTTGACATTAAAGCGGTTTTGATAGCATTTTCAGGAATTAACAACAATAATACGTATTTCAATCTGCCGTTTGTCGCAATAGCGTTGCAGGTAATAAATCTGTACATAAAAATATGAATGTTTCGTACACTTCTCACTGTAATTTTATGCAGAAACATGTGATACGAAAATTTAATATAAACTAGTTAAAAGTATATATTTTCAAACAAGTCATGTGTAAGTAAATCATAGCTCATTTAGAAAAACCTTACAGTGCTATGTAATGACATGGAATGTTGCCGCCAATAGTCTCAGACTTACTTTTGCTATATTTCCGAAATAAATGTTTAGCACTATCACAAATCTTAAATCACCAATGTGGCTGGGTGTGAAAGACTTCACGTGGTTTTATAATTACTAGCTTAAGAAAACACATCGTGTAAAAGCTTTTACCGCTCATCGTGAATTATTTCTGTATTGACCAAATGTACGAAAAAAAAATCACGTTGAAAAGTAATATATGGTTTCTCTAAGATGTAATCGTTTTAGTTGAAGAAACTTGCAACGCTAGAGTAACAAAAGTAGGAAAAATTAGTCCCAGCAAATGGAAGAAGAGTCGGAACTATCACAGTTCAGTGACGGGCGTCATCTTTAGCGATTGTTGTGCTGTCGCCTGAAGAATAGTACTCTCTTCTTCAGCACTAGTCTTCTGATACTGTGGCTCTTTCCTACCACGACCCCACTTTGTTTTCAAAACTCCAGCCAGTTTGTCCCTATATCTGAAGCTTAGCATGATTATGACGGCCGAACCGATGGCTCCAGCTACAACTACACCGATAATAAGTTGGCGCCTGGTGTCCATGCTGTAGCAATCCAGGTCATCTTCCGGCAGATTGGCAAGGATCCTGTCCTTAAGTCCTGGAGGGCTTACGCAAACGACTTGGGTCGCATCACTCTGACCCTCAAATGAAGAAAAATTTTTGGTCATTAATAACTTCCAAAGCCATAGAAGGCTGCAATTGCACACTAGAGGATTGTCCCTCACGTCCAAGGACTGCAATTCATCCCATGGAAGTAGACTGTACTGAAAAGTTTCAAAAGCATTACCCCTGAAGCTAACGTGGTGGATATTTGGTAGATTGTCGAAGGCTCCATCCTGTATGTGCTTTAAGACTTTGTTGTGGTTGATGACTATAGCTTTCAGATTGATATTATCCGAAAAAGCGCCTTTTTCAATTTGTTGCAGAGCAGGACAGCCATTTATCTCAATTTTGTTCAAGAACTTAAGCCTTTGAAACGATTTTGCTTTCAGCTCTCGGAATTTGTTTTGCCCAATATGTAGCTCTTCCAAACGAATGACGTCAAATAGGGCTTTTGTGGGAGCCTCACTTAACTCATTATCATGAATACGAAGTATAAGTAGCGAGTTCAGCCACTTCAGGGCTCCGTACTGTATAACTCGAATGCCGCATCCATCTAGAGACAGTTCTTGAAGGATATTTAAAGAAGAAAAGGAATTTTCAGGAATGTCATGAAAAGAATTGAGACCCAAATCCAATTTGACTAATTCGGATATATATTGGAATGATGTGCTAGGAATGTTAGTCAACTGATTATCACGAAGTAACAACGTTTTTAAATTCTTCAATCCATAAAACGCTTCTGGTTCTATTGATGCAATTCTATTTTGAGAAAGATCTAGCAATTCTAAATTTTCAAGGTGCACGAAAACTTTTGGTGGTAATTCATCCAAGTAGTTTTCATTCAGATGTAATACTTTGAGCGCATTTAGCCCTTTAAAAGTATCGTTTTGGAGAAGAGAAATCATGTTCCGATTCACAAGCAGAACCGTCAAGTGTTCAAGAACAGCGAAGTTTTCTTTGCCCAGATTTACTAACTGGTTATGAGAGACATCCAGGAATTCCAGATTACGGTAGACGTTAAAAGATACCCGAACACCCTTGATGTGATTGTTGCTCAACCTCAATTCACGTAACTCAGGATTGAGTGTTATTGGGACGACATCAAGGTTAGCAGAATCACAAATTACTCGAAGTATTTCATCGTTGCATTCACAACGAGCAGGGCACATTCCAGTCACTCGGCTCCACAAGCACATAAAATAGAATAAAAGAACGATGATCCTCGGGGAACCACGCAGCTTATGCATGCTTGCCGACCCACAGGGCAGCTTTCCCCAGCTACCTGCAAAGAATAAAATATTGAATTATAACAAACGTACTTGCTACAAATTTTAATTTAAAAAAAAATTAGGATAACACACAAAAACAAAAAACTTAAAATCTCTAACTACCGGCACTGAAACAAAATTTAATATCGAGTTCATAACATTCAGCATTTTAACATAGCAAAAATATTACAGTTAACAAATTAGTCAAGAAAACTATTTTTTTTTTTAAATTTCTACTTTACAGATATCACCGTATTCAGTCACGAATAAACATTTTGCTGCTTTAAAAAACATGTAATTAGCAACAAGTTGTAAATTGAGTTATTAAAAATACTCTAATAATTTAACCAAATTAAATATCAGAATATTCCTTAAGCAGAGATTACAATTTACAGTATATCAGTTTGGCCAAAAGTCATAATTCATACATTACTACTTAAAACTGTCTTATAAAAGCGTTTACAAATTAATTTTTCATTAATAAATACGCAATAAAAAAAAATTTCGCAGAAAATAGAAATCAAAGAAACATGCATTTCTAGAACTGTACCTAACCAAGATGCCATGACATATTTTATCTCAAGCGTGACGCCACACCATCCCACCATAAAAATTTATAAGCATATTTACTTCATTTACAAATGCATTTATTTATGTCCTTAAAAGCTTCAGTTCTCTTAACGACGCACAATGAACACAAATCACATAAGCTTGTGCATAATATTTTTGTGCTGAATGGTTTAATGAATGTATATACACTTCTTCGCAGCTTTGTAATAGAACGAAATGATTATTAAATTAACTACCATAAAGTTAAGCTGAAAGAAACGTCATAAAATGCATTTTCACTTCTGCAGAAGGCAAAAAAGTATTATGCACGAAATTTAATTAGCACTAAACGTATTCGTTTTCATTTTACGTTCTAGATATATGGCACGTAAAATAAGAAACTAACCAGTCTTATTTTAGCTAAGGATTCTCGAATATAAATTTAGCTCCTTTTCGGGAAAAAAAATAATAATTACTTTAAGGGGTAACATTAAAGGTTATTTCAAAAGTGGAATAGCCAAATCCAAGTTTTACAACCGTCATAAATATTTAATATTTGAAGTGCCTTGACACAATAGGTTGGCTTCCTGCCCCCTTTATTATCATTCCAAAGGTATAGTATACAATAGTTATTTTAATGATTCAGGGGCTTTACGAGGGACACAAAGACAAGCGAAAAATTTCATAGTTCATAAAAACGATGCAAGCTACAGTTTCGAATCTTATCCCCGCAGAGTGGGAAAAAGGCGCTTAAACGAGCAGTCTACCAAATGAAAAATATGATCCATAAATTTGTTTTACTTCAGCAATTTGTTCTCGAGTAAAGGCTAAAAGACATTTAGGATCAATAAACAAGCACATAAGTCATACATCAAGACGCTGGCGTCTAAATTCGTCTCCAGTAAAAAGATCAATCGTACATGTAAAATGACTGGCTGCCTTGGAATAGGGACAACAACATTTTCCAAATTTGAGAGCAATTGAGACTAACGATTACTGCCAAATCGTTTCAGTCCGAAGCCATTTGAAAATGTATTCTTTCATTTTTCAGTTAGAAGGAAAACTTAGGACAAGCGAAGCAAAGTACAAAAACGCTGTGAGAAAAAGATCAATTGATAGAGCAACATGCGATGGCATTTGTAGCAGTAACTTCTACTCATCCCATTTGAATTTTTTTTTGTTATGCAACTCAATATATATCGAAAACTACATCCATATCAAGAAAGTTAAAATTTAAAAATCAATCCAAACAAAATCACGCAAAAACTTTAAAACTAGCAAAAACAATTGCTATTAAACAAGGTAAAATGTAATTAAAATAAAAGATTAAAATAACATACGAAAGATGCAGAGCACAATTACACTATTTCTTGAAAACGCAGTAAATATATGTGTGGAAGTCAAAGTCACAAATATTCCAAGATTTCAATAATTTGCAAATTTCGACAACACATGATATTTCATATATCGGTACAGAATACGACTACCTCCTTTTTTTCCAAGAGGACAGAAAAATCAAGCAAATCAATTCGTTCAAAGTTAAATACTTCAACTAAAATTTCGTTAAATATAAATTCAAAAATACATTTAGCTGGAAAGTTCAACATTTAGACATACAGTGGCTGAAAAGCAGACGATTTGAAAGCACACTACCATTTTCCACAAAATTTAAAGAAAGTTTTACCCAGATAACAGATCTCATTAGATGGACTTTTATAAACTCGAGCGAGATTGACCTACTCTATATTCAGTAGTAATAAAGCAGACTCTAAAAGCCAAGTTATAATGTGACACCTTTAATTATCTTACATATATACTCTATTTTGCTCTATTCATATTTTAAAAACTTGCTTGTTCTAATTTATCTCTAATGATCACAGCATGACAAAGAAACTGACGAGAAGACGGTGTTTTGCTAATTTACCTCAAACTAAAATGTTTATTACTAATAATAGTAAATACTGCAGCAATTCCGATCATTATAGTCATAAGCAGCACCGTATTTTTTTTTTTACTTAAATTGTATTTTCAGTGTTATTTCTCTGCAGTCAGGCGTTTTTCCTATACGATTTCAGCGCTTACGGCGAAACACATAACGGCTACCTGCCTAAGAGGAGGTATTACTCTCTGCAGGATCTTCTGAGAGAAACTGGCTCATATTCGTGTTACTCATGAGAAAAACCACAAAAGTTCTCATACAATTAGACCACTAATGTTTCGCAATCTCTTACACAAAAGAAAAACTTATTTTATTTACCTGTAATGACATACGGAAATAAAAATATACCTTTACAATACCTGCCATATTGTAAAATGAACACAAGCATATCCTAAAATGTCTGATAACAGCAACTTTTGCTGTGCGCATATATTCATATTCAAATAGAAGGCAATACCTGAATTACTATGATTCTAGCAATATAATTCTAGCAATATAAATGGATAAGTATCTTTCCATATATGACTGATTGTATAATCGATTACGGCAAAACACATAAGGACGATCTACCAAAGGAAAAAGATGCCTTAATGGAGGACTTTCCACGAGAACTAGCTTATAGCATACAAAACACGAAAAAACATGGAAACACCCATACAACTAGTTTGTTCACGAGAATTCGAAGGCGGGTTGATATACAACTGTTAAGCGGTCTTATCCATTAGGTCTCTGGTCGTTTGAACTGTATATGAATCTCTAGCACCGTTTAAAACGATTATTATGATACATCAACACAATTTATTAACCATGCAACTACAAATATCTTCTATTAAAATGACACAAGGGAAAAAAGGAGACATTTTAAAAAGCATTGATTTTTCACAGCCATTTGAAATGCACAAAAACAACTTTAAAAAATTTAACTTTTAAAAACAAAAAAGTCATTAATAATGAAGTAACAGTCCACAAAATCTATCGCACACATGGGACAGTGGTTAATGACGGTGACTGCCCAACGAAAGGCCCGGGTTCAAATCTCGGAGAAGGAATGGATGTTTGTAAGTATACAGTATCTATGAGACAAGGGGGCACTCAAAATATACAGCAAGCCAGATGTCCTCAAGAAAGGTTGATGATAGGGAAAGCGGAGTTAAAGACTCTCCGACAACCCCCAGGCTGTTCGCTCTCAAAATTGGGGCAAAAGCTAACAATTAGGTTCAGCAATGCCTCAGTCACCTGTGGTAATACAGACCTGCTGGCCTAGCTTCTACCTGCACGTCAACAAAAATTAAATTATGCTTAAATTTTCATTCAACAAAATGTTTTCGAACTTACACAATTTATAAGTTCATATCATAATATATATAGATATATATATATATACACTGGTCAACAAAATTAAAGGATAATGAGGAAAAATATGCTCACGTCACTCGTCACTAAGTTAATGTTGCAATCAACGCCCCATGCTGTAATTATTTATGTTAACTAAATACAACTGAACACAAAATTGTACTTCTAAGCATACGTTAGCGGCGGAAATATGGAAATTTGGTGATTCACAATGTGGTGCTCCAAAGGCATCAATCACCTAAGTGAAGGTCAAAAACAAATTTGAGTATTTGCGAATAATTGGTAAAATCGAGGGAGGTCAAACATAAATGGAAGTCGTCCAAGATTTGAATATCGCTCAGTGTCATATCAAGAGTATGAAGCCGCTTTTTAAGCACTGGATCAGTTGGTAGGAAGTTTGGTCAAGGGCGACCAGGAGCAAAAATTGCAATAGAAGACCGTTTTCCGTCGTTGTCGGCTTGAAGAAACAGCAAAGTGATTACAAGAGATTTGGCTTTAGACTTTCAGGCTATCACAGGAACTCGAATTAGCCGTTCGATTGCTGCACGAAGTTCGACTATGGAAGGAAACCAATGGTTTGTGTCCTACTCTGTCCAGCTTCCAGAGGCTTCCGTTTAAATTGGTGCCGTTGTCATGTTCAATTCAGCCAAGATGACTGGGTCCGAGTATTGTTTACTGACGAATCCAGATATAGACGTGCTTTGATCTGGAGAGTGAAAAAAACTTGTAATTTGCCTTCTCTTGTCCGTGAAATATCCCGTTTCTATAACCGCGGGGTAATGATTTGGGAGGCCATCATGATAAATGGCCGCACAGAGCTGCATATCTCTCAAGCAAGTTCTGCAATAGCTTGGAGATATGTGAACAAGGTATTGGAACCTAAAGTTAGACTGCTTGGAGTGCTGTCGGCCCAGAGTTTTTGCTAATGGTTTATGGGATTACAGTAAAGCCTCAGGAAAGGAAATGCCTTCGTGAAGGACTTTCTACGAGAAACTGGCTTGTAAAGAAGTTACACATGGGGTAAACCACGAAAACGCTCATGCAGCTAGCCCGTTCCCGGGATTCGAACATCAAACCGAATTAGTATTTAGCAACTTTACCGCTCGGCCACTGGCGGCCCCTTCGGATTCATCCAGCATATGTGGTGTCAGAATACTTACAAACAGAAGATAT